AGTTTTAAAAGCATCCATTTTTGGGGTTTTTTTTTCTGTAAAAGAAAACATTTTGGACGAAGTCCTAGATCACCTACTAGTTTCAAATATATAGGAAGATAAATAGGAAAAGTTTAAAAATATTTAATTTCTCTACTTGCACTCATACATTAGTACCAATAGTCCAAGGTGTGGTTTACTGGTTTGCCTAAAATCACCCCAATTTTGTGTCATTTCCAAAAGAACCGGATGCCATTTTTTGAAAAGTTGAAAAGAATTCAAATTGAATTTCACTAATGAACATATCATATGTTACAAGTATTATAGTGTAGCGGGCAATACAAAATATACTTGTATATACATTTAAATTTTAAAAAGAAAAAAAAAAGGAAGAAAAGACTGCAATATATAGTTTCTTATAGTTATAAACCTTTATACTTCACAAGTGCTACAGTACTAACATTATGAGCATCATCAAACAATCTCAACGCCCACAGAACAAGTTGTGCTACTGTCCACCCCAAATTAATCTAATTTTTGTGTCATTTCGCAAAAGGTAAAAACTAAAAAGAAAAGATGACCACTTGCTTCCTGATTCCATTTTTCAATTCAAACTATTAGTTGTCTAAATCCCATGCAAAACTATTTAATCAGAACCTGGCTTGAAACCAAGGCATAAGGTAGTTGTACACAGTGCTTAGACAATTGTACTATGTCAAAATCAGTGAATAGATAACCTGGTTGACTCAGTCTGTCGCAATCGTGGGACAAAACGAATCATGGGTTCAAACGTATTTGCTGGCATTGTCACTCAACCACCCACCAAATCACCAATCAAAACATAGAAAATTCAAGATCTTGTACAGTACGACACCAAATCTTGGGCTATATAAACCACCAGTAAGGATAACGAACCCAAGAAACCTAGTTGAAGATCATACTGATCATATCTAACACTCTTCCTTAGATTCAAGAAATCGATTTCATTTTTCAAGATTTAAATATGCAGAAGAAGCTCAGATCATCAAGTTTAACAAGTCGAAGACCGATACCAAAGAGAGGGCAGATCATGGTGAGGATAGCAGCAACTGCTTACCACACTGTGGTTTCTGTGTTCTCAAAGCCACCTCGCACCACCACTCCCATGGCTAAAACGTTCCTAAGAGAGATGAAGATGAACAGAAGCAATTAGTTTGATGCATTAGATGCTTTTTGATGATGTAGTCACAGTTTCTTGATTTAATTTTCCTGTTGAATGTCGATATGTTTAATATTTTGATGATTTAAGGAAAACATTGTTTCCGTAGCAACAGTGCTGTATCAAGTTATACCCTGTGCAGTAGTGTGCACTACATGCAGATGAGCATATATGAAATTATACATTTTAATATGCCAAATTATAAAGATCATGAAACCACTCGATAAACATTCAATCTTATGAAACCAGTCTACATGATGACATGATGTTTGACCTGACCCTTTAAACATGATCCATTAGTCAAACATGAAGTTGGACCGAAAGAATTTTCATAAATTTGTTTGCAATGTTTACCTTTACCAACTTCAATTCGAAAGAGAAACGTGGGCCAAATCTTAAAAGTTTTTAATCATCAAGTTGCAGAAAGTAAAAGGCCAAGAATCAAAGCATCATCACTGACGTCATGATGGTTTCAATTAATATTTAATCCCTATAGAATATATTGGATAAATTGATTTATTGTTTAAAGCTTCCTCATGGTTCATCGATAGAATTCAAACACCATGATATAGTTAACGATGGGGCACAAATCAAAATGCTTCAACATGGCATGGCATAGCATAAAGAAAGCTTAATCAATATTTTGGAGATTCCAAATGAAATTTTACCATTTAGAGATAAATTAAAATAATGTTTTTTCTGGTATACAGATGCATAATAATAGGTTGTGTTTTTTTCCATTTGGGCATTCTTTGATATACCTTTGTGCATTTAATATTCTTTAGGATAAAACATATGGATGCAATTGCAACGGAATATTGAAACTTGATTGCTTCAACCTCTTACAAAGGTTCGAATGAGCTACATTGAACAATATGAAACTATGTTACTATTTAATGCAATTGTTCCGATTTTTACCCGAATCAATAAGCTTAA